GTTGCAGTGTGGAGCTTCATCTTGCTGTGGGCGATCACATTTTAATATTAACACATTTGCCTTTTTCATTCTCATTCGTGTACAGAGTATGAAAAGCTCATCAATATGGTTTTATATCCCACATTAAAATTAACTTTTTCAGAACTATCACTTGTTGAGGGGTGCCTGGGTGGCTCGTTAAGCATCTGCCTTCAGCTCGGGTCATGATCCTGGGGTCCTGGGATCGAGCCCCACATCGGTCTCCCTGCTCGGTCAGGAGCCTGCCGTTTCCCTCTCCCACTCCCCCTGCTTGTGTTCCCTCTCTAGCTATCTATCTCTCTGTGTCAAATAAATAAATAAAATCTTTAAAAAAAAAAAAAAAAGAACTATCACTTGTTGAGTTTTGTTATAGCTATTCTTTGTTAATGCAGTTATCAGGAAAGACTATTAAAATATTCCCTTTCCGGGGTGCCAGGGTGGCTCAGTCGATTAAGCGTCTGCCTTCAGCTTAGGTCATGATCTCAGGGTCCTGGGATCGAGCCCCATATCAGGCTCTCTGCTCAGCAGAGAGTCTGCCTCTCCCTCTCTCTCTGATCCTCCTCCACTTGTGCTTTAACTCTCTCTGTCTCAAATAAAATCTTTTAAAAAATAAAATAAAATACTCCCTTTCCAACCACATATCTTTGTTTGTTTGTTTGTTTGTTTGTTTGTTTGTGTATTTTAAGTAAGCTCCACGCTGGGCTTGAAACCCAGTGCAGGGCTTGCAAGAGTCAGATGCTTAACCAACTGAGCTACCCTGGCGCCCCAACTACTTACCTGTTTAAGGCTTGATTTTCTTTTCTTCTTTTTCTTCAGAGATTTTATTTATTTGACAGAGAGAGAGCACAAGCAAGGGGAGCGGCAGGCAGAGGGAGAGGGAGAAGCAGGCTCCCTGCTGAGCAAGGAGTCTGATATGGGATTCCATCCCAGGACCCTGAGATCATGACCTGAGCCGAAGGCAGATGTTTAACCAACTGAGCCACCCAGGCACCCCAAAGCTTGATTTTCTTTATATACTTCATCCAGAACAATAAATTGCAACACACTGAATGAAGAAGCATATAAGAATCCGGCTATCTCCTGTTAAGCCAGATAATAAGGAGAGTTGCAGAAAATGTTAAATAATCCGCTTTGCTCAATACTTTTTTTTTTTTTTTCCATTTTGGAATGGGTTTATTGTTATTTTTAAGTAAATTAATAAGTATTTTAAATTTTTTTAGTTTTAATTTCTAATATGATAAATCTTGTTAGACATCCACAAAAACTCTTTGGGGCTCTCAATAATTTTTAAAACCTTAAACAGGTTTTGAGACCCAAAAATCTGTGAACCAGTAGTCATGATGTGGTTTTCTGAGATCTGTCAAATAATACACAGGTTATTTGGCAGTTTCAGAGAAAAAATGATAGTAATCTTAGCCCCCAAACATTTTTTTAATTAATAAAATAATAATTTTACCAAAAATCCCTTTGCACTCTTAAAAAAACTGCCCATGTGCTACGAGGTCTATTTCAGTCAGTTCATCTTGGCTAATGTTCAGTTCGTTAACCAAGGGATTTTTGTTTTTCATTTGTGTGTTATCATTGGTTAAATTTTAAATTTTATTTTGGCTCAAAAGTGATTGAAGCATAGAAATAGAAATAAAACAGTATTATAAATGCTACAACTCAGAATGCTGTCATAATGAATAAGAGCTTTAGAGTTCATACAGTCTGAGTTTATATGTGTTAGAAAGTGGAATGATTTGTAGTAGCAGTCCAAAAGAGGAAAGTTCAAATGTGAAATACGATGGTGACTGGAATTACATTCTATCAGATCTGCAATACCTTCATCCCTAGTCGCCAGAGATTATTCTGAAATTTTGTCAAATACTTAGTTATGTAAAGCCATGAAACAAGGCACAGTGATAACCTTGGCAAGCCAGAATTTCCCAGAACTGTAAAACAGTGCATTCCAGGGTGAAAGTGATGAATTCTGTCACTAGAGATGGGGAAGAAATCAGAACTACTAAAGCATCATTCATAGTTGCATAGCTCAAATAGATGGATGTCACACCTTTGACCAGAACGTTGTGAAACCAACCAAAAAGTTAATAAAAAGTTTTAGCATTTATAGAAAAGGCAGAATAAGGTACTGACAAAATTACTATATCAAATGACACCATTGGACATTATTGGTATTATTCAAGGCAAATGATTAATGCTGCTGTTTTTGCAAAATGTCAAATAGTAGGTGTTCCAGCTAATGGTGTTTCCAACTGAGTATGTATATGTATGCTCTTAGTTGATGTGCAGAACATGGAGAACAAAGTATTCATTGTTTCTCTTCTGTTTAATCACGTTTACAAGTATGTTACACATAATCCATTTTGTTATTTTGTGAGCTGTGACATAAACTGGAAAAGGAAGGGACTTTGGGGTCAGTGCTGACACAGCATCAGTTAAGTGTGTAGTAAGAAAGGTACTAGAATTTGAATGAAAAGAAGTTTGATCCCATCCCCACCCACGAAGCCTCTTGCCAGAGAACAGGTAGCAATCAAGAGTATGCCTCAATATATTGACTGAGCATTTAATTAGAACAAGAGTCAGCAGACTAGCTGTTGGGCCAGGTTTGTCCTCTGTTCCCCACCTATTTTTCTGTGACTGGTGAACACAGAGTAGACTTTACGTTTTTAAATGGTTGGGGAAAATATCAAAAGAATGATATTTTGTGACACATAGAAATTAGAAGAAGTTCAGTATTTCCATAAATATTTACTGGAGCATAACCACACTCATTGGTTTATGTATTGTTGTAGCTGCTTTTGCAGTACAGCAGCAGGATTGATTAGTTATGAGAGAGACCATATGGCCTGCAAAGTGTGAAATATTTACTGTCTGGCCTTTTACAGAAAAACTTTGACAACCCTGGAATTAGAGTAACTCCACTTTGATCCATCATATTTATTGTTCTTCCCCATGGGAGTTCATTGAAGAAAGGGTTCTACTGCCTTAAAAACAAGCTTTGTGTTGTTTTTTTTTTTTTTTAAGTGTGTAAACTTTTCAAAAGGTCACCCCAACCGAACAAGCATTCTTGTTCTTTTGCCACTCTGGGGACAGAGCAGGGAGGAGTTCACAATTCATTTTGGAAATACTTGAGTAATTCAAGGTAGTATTTGAAGATACATTATGGGTGATACAAAAATTAACCATTTGTGCCAACAGAGATTTAAGTCTGATAGAGAGATAAGAAACATATTCCTCCTTTTATTATAATCTTTTGCCTCTTTTTCCCAAAAGAGCATTAAACATAGCTTTAAAAGGAGGCATTTTATGTATCTTTTATTCTCTCTGATTGATACCCAGCAAATTGCTACCAGTATAAGCAAATTCCCACTGTTCCTCATTTTCCCAAACTCAGGGATATATTCCCTAAAAATACTGGTCTAATTTAACTGCCTCTCCTCTGTTTCCATAGCATCCAATACAATCCTGTAATTATTGATTTGCTTGATGTTTCTGTTTTAAACTATAAGGAAGTTTCCCTGGTATCTTCCTCTCTAGACACAGGAGGGACTGTTTGTTACTTTAGATAGTATAATATAATATTTCGGAGTGTTGGCTTTGGAGTCAGACTTGTCCTGCTTTCTGTATGTGAGTGAATCTGTTTCCTCTTCTATGAAATGGGAATTAACAATAACAATGATAGCAATGATCATAATACTTTTTTTAGAGTTTGTTGTGAACCTTAAGTGAAATGATGCAAGTAGAATGCTAGTTAAGCTTTTGCCACATGGTAGTATGTTAGTTGTGTTGCTGATACTATTGTTTTGATGGTGGTTGTTATTGTATCTCGACTACCTAAGGTCTTTTTTAAATTAAGTATTAAATATTTTTGTTGAATGGAGTCAAGGTTTATTTTTAAACATGTTACCAGCTTTGTGCTTTAGAGAAGACTGAAAGTTAAAACTAAAGCTTGCTGTTTATCCAGAAATTTGTCCCATAGGTTTTCATGTAACAGTGATGCTTATGTATCTGATGGGATTGGAGTTTGTTTTGTTTGTTTGTTTGTTTGTTTGTTTGTTTGTTTGTTTTTTGGGGTTTTTTTGGTCTGTTCCAAAACCTGTGCGCTTTCACCTGGCTTATCTAAAGTTGAAGTGTAAATTGAGTGATTACTATGGGCCAGTTACTGTTCTAAGAGCTTGTAAATATTTAGTCCATATAAGAGCCCTATGAACTAGGTCTTATTATTATTCCTATTTTAAGATGAGACAGCTGAAACACAGGATTATAAACTGTCATAGGATACTTAGCCAGTAAGAGGCACAGTTGGGATTTGAACCTATAGTCTGGCCCCAGAGTTTGTGTTCTTAACCACCATGTTCTAATGCTTTTATTAGCCACAGAGTCTCGTTTGCCATATGGTTGTATGTAAGATACAGCTTATTTTAGGTAACTTTCTTGGAATTTTAAGTTTGTTTACAGTGCTGGGTGTGTGGTAGATAATACATATTTGTGCTTGAATGAATTAATGAATATGATGGTATGATAAAATTATAGTTAGTGCAGTATATAATCATTGCTTAATTCTTGGCTTCAAGCAATAACTGCTTTTCACTGTAGGCCCTCTTAGGAGCTATCTATAGCCAGGCTTGGCTATTTTGAAGCAATCTACTCTAATACTACAAATATTTGGGCAAAGAAATTGCTTAACAAATCTATTTATATTCTTCAATTCATTTTTTCTTGCTGGTACCCACTCAGAAAAATCTGTGTTTAGAGTTTTTCCTTTTTTGGGTCCCTCTGTTGAATTGTTTGTAGTTTGTTTTTAGGTTTTTTTTAATGTTAGATAACATTGTGACAGATAATTCACTTTTTAATAGATGAAGCCTTAAAGAATTTGTGTATACTGGTCATGATAGTGAAGTTTGGTGTTGGATTGGCCTCTAAAATTTTTGAAATAGTAATGATACTGAAATTTGCTTTATTTTATATGTCTCTTTCAGAATTCTCCACTTTACCAGTACTTACAGGATCTGGGACACACAGACTTTGAAATATGCTCTTTTCTGTCACCAAAACCAGAAAAAAGCACAGTGACAGAGGGACAACAAAAGCCTCCTGCAAGAGCCCTGACAAAAGTAAGAAAGCATGTTCATTCTCTATGTTTAATCTTTTGTTCTTCACCTCACTGATATTTAAACTGCCTTAACCCTTACCCTTGTAAAAAAAACAAAAACAAAAAACCTTATAAGCACCTCCATGTCCTTTCTGACTCTGATAAGACTTTATTTTTTATTTCGTCAGTAGTACAAAACTGTTTAGATAAATATAAGTCCTTACTGTTTTGGACTGTCGTAGTAATTTCTATAATGAATGGAAATTAATATGGTTGAGGATTAAAATATATTATTTCTTAAAATATTGAAGTTGTTTGGAGGGAACCAGAAAAATATACTAAAACCTTAATGAGAACTCAACCATTAGGACTTTTATATTAATTAGAATTTTTTTCTTTGCATATTTTTTAAAAGAGAGCACAAGTTATAAGAAAGCAAACTGATAACATATTTCATGAGCAATTTCAAGGATATGTGATGGAGTGGGTATATTTACCTCAGTTTGTGATGCCCTTTATATCTAGGCAGTATCCTCTTATGCAATAAATATTTCAGTTGATTACAACATTGCAAGGCTGAGATACTGGAAGAATCTCCACTAATTATGTTCTGTAAAACGTATTTACTAGATTCATTTATGTTCTATTAGCCATATTTAATAAAATAAAAAAAAATATTCCAGTACATTTCAGTTTTAACGAAAGGAATTCTAATTTAATAGAAAAAATAAACCAGATTACTTCATTTCTTAAGCATTCTAGTTTAATCAGTGTTTTATTATATACAAGACATCATTATTTTTTCGAGGAGGCTTTTAAAGTTTTCAATTAGTTGTTTACTCTGTGGTGATAGAGAGGGAAGTCTCTTTTCTCCTTTTCTTAGAAAAACCCCTAAAATGTGAGGTAACCAAGCTGGGCCCATTTGCAAGAGTAGAATAAATACCAGAGAAATGTTTTTTTGACTGATACTTACAGGGTAGGAATTAGAGAGTTAGAGCTTACATGGATCAGAACCAGTTTGCTAGTCCTCTGGACTTAAACTCTTTCTTCTCTCTGCCCCTTTCAAATGTGAATGTTCCTGGGAAGAGTTTTGAAAGCAAAACTGAACGATATGGCTAATAGGTTATTTATAGATTAAAACTTGGATTTGAGATTACTTGGCAACAAAAGACAAAGAATGGGCCAAGGGATAGTCTTAGGCAGGATATGGGCATTGGCCTTTTTTTGTTGTTCAAACTTGGGTTTTAAAGGTATTTAATCCTTTTCATTTATGATATGTATTTTTACATATAGAAGTGTTATTAATTTATGAATAAATAAAATGAGAGTTTAAGATTTACTGGTCCTCAGAAATTGAGAAATAGCCAGAGAATGTTTTTCAAAATTACCACATGTCTAGAAAGTTCCTTTAGTTTTCATATTATTTCAACTGTATGAGCTATATTTTTCTAAAATGGAGTTTTTCTAAATCCGGGACAGCTGAATTTTAGAAAGATTTGTTGTATTATTTAGTTCCTTCTCAGGGGATATATTTTTAGAATCGCCCCCAAAGTTCTGTTCAAGCAGTGAAGTACCAGTTATTTTCTTTGGAAAGCAAAGTTTATGTATAATAAGAGATCGTGATGAAACTGTCATTAGCCTTCATCACCATTTTTTAATGTTCTTGTGAGTACTTACTGAGTACTCTTACTGGTATTCTCACCATCAATATTCATTCTCTGTATATTTTTCTAGTTTCTTTTCCTGTGATTCTTCTTTTTTTTTTTTTTTAAAGATTTTATTTTATTTATTTGACAGAGACACAGTGAGAGAGGGAACACAAGCAGGGGGAGGGGGAGAGGGAGAAGCAGGCTTCCTGCCAAGCATGGAACCCGATGCGGGGCTCGATCCCAGGACTCTGGGATCGTGACCTGAGCCGAAGGCAGACGCTTAACGACTGAGCCACCCAGGTGCCCTCCTGTGATTATTCTTAAATGTTCCTTCCATAAAGTTTTAACATCAGGCCTCTTCTCTCTTGGTCTGTTTTTATAAGTGATCTCATCTACTTTCTTGCCCTCATTGGCTACTTGTGTGTATTCTCCATCTTCACTGAGTTCTGGACGTTGCTTAAACATTTCACATGGCCTGTGCCCCAGGAAACTCAGATTCATATGTATAAAACAAATAAAATATTCTTTCCATATTCCCAAATTACCACTCTCAGTTATCTTAAGATTTCCTATGACTCCCACATTAATTTGGTCACTAAATGATATATCAAGTGAACTTCTTATGTCTCTAAAATCCAACCCTTATCCATTACCATTTTTTGCTACCCTACTTGAGGCCTTTGTCATTATTTAGCTAGACTATTAGATATCCTCCTAATCAGACTTCTTGGCTACAGTCATTTCCTGCTAGTATTGCCTCTACACTGTAGCCAGTTATTTTTCTTAAATGCTGATTTTTATTGTTTCATTTCCTTGCTTAAAAATCTTTGGTGGCTCCTCACAGCCTACAGGATAAAGTCTAAACTATTAAGGCATTTAAGACCAAAGTCCTTTAAAACCGCTCTCAGTGATCATTACTGTTCCCTTCTTTCCTTGGGTCTTAGCCTGTCCCAGGCTCTGCCACCATGCCCGTGACGTGCTTCCATGGCTGTGCCCTTTCTTCGTCCTGTTCTCTTGCCCAGAATGTTCTTCCCTCCTTTGTTAAATTCCTGCTCATCTGTTAGGGCATAGCTTCAGTGTTAGCACCTCTTGACCTTTTTTCCCACACTTTCCCAGACTTTACTTTGTTTTGTAATTATTTATACCATCTCTTCTATACTAAGTTCTTGAAAACAGCAGTTATGTGTATTCATCTTTGTTCCTATGACCCTTTTTCAGTACCTGGGATACAGTAACCACTCAATGAATATAAACTCCATTTACTAGCATGGAAATGGGCTATTAACATTAAGGTAATTTTAATTTTTGGTTGATTCAGTAATACAACTTTTATTTCAATATGAGACACTTTTTCTAAAATTGATTAAAATGTCTCTCTGCCTTAGCATTGTGGAATGAAATGTTCTTAGTATTTGAGAACTTGGAGCATCTTATGGTTTTCATTTATTTTATTTTTTAAAGATTTTATTTATTTATTTATTTGACAGAGAGAGAGACACAGTAAGAGAGGGAACACAAGCAGGGGGAGTGAGAGAGGGAGAAACAGGCTTCCCACTGAGCAGGGAGCCCGACGTGGGGCTTGGTCCCAGGACCCTGGGATCATGACCTGAGCCGAAGGCAGATGCTTAACAGCTAAGCCACCCAGGCACCCCTGGTTTTCATTTTGAAATACATACTATCATCATCTTGATATAGCTAGTATATAGTGTACCCAGTAAATGGGCTGCATCAGGATAACTTCTGAGTGCTCTTTTATTTTTTTAAAAAATTAATTAATTTTTTTATGTAGTGTTCCATGATTCATTGTTTGCATATAACACCCAGTGCTCCATGCAGTCGTGCCCTCCTTAATACCCATCACTGGGCTAACCCATCCCCCCAGCCCGCCTCCCCCCTAAAACCCTTAGTTTGTTTCTCAGAGTCCATAGTCTCTCATGGTTCGTCTCCCCCTCCGATTTCCCCCCCTTCATTCTTCCCCTCCTGCTATCTTCTTCTTCTTCTTTTTTTTTTTTCTTAACATATATTGCATTATTTGTTTCAGAGGTACAGATCTGTGATTCAACAGTCTTGCATAATTCACAGCGCTCACCATAGCACAAACCCTCCCCAGTGTCCATCCCCCAGTGACCATCCCCCAGTGTCCATCACCATCCCTCCCACCCTCCACCACTCCAGCAACCCTCAGTTTGTTTCCTGAGATTAAGAATTCTTCTGAGTGCTCTTTAAAAAATCTGCTTTCAGGTCTCATTCAAAACTTAATTTTAACTTAATCTAAACCTATAGATTGGGGTCCCAAGAATATTTCTAAATAAAATTTCCAGGTGATTCTGATGTGCAAGTAAATCTGGGAATTATTAAGGAGCCTGAACATATTGACAAAGGATATAACCTAGGTGATTTTTTTCTCCCTTTTTCTAATAAAAATTCTGAATTTTTTCTTCTTAATTAGAAGTAAGTTATTTGAAGTTTTTCTGCTGTTTGGGTGTGATTTAATAAATCCTATACAATGTCATTCATCTCCTTCAGCAAGGCATCCTGTTAAAAGTGGCTGAAACCATCAAAAGTTGGATTTTTTCTCAGTACAATAAGAAAGATGACTTACTTCACAAGTTGGTAAGTGTTTGCTCTACTTCTTTTTGTCAGTTTTCAGGGCTCCAGTTTACTAGTGACAGAATCTAATTGAATCAGAATTTGTTTTGCTACTGATTTGGGCAGTGATTGATTCTAAATAGAAATTCTGGGCAGTTCTCTGAAAGGAGACTGCCTACTTCATGAAGTGTTAAAGTTTGTTGGTATCACCTAAAAAAAAAAATCAACAAGAAGTTCTTCAATAATTGTGGATATTTGAATTTGGTTTTATTAGTATTATTTCATAGTTCTTCCAAGAGGTTGTTAGCCATTTAGAATAGAATATTCTGGTAGTTATTGATACCTTATTTGTTAGATTACTAATTTCCTGCTGCCATCTTCCTCCACTGACAAGTATTCCTCTCAATAGGGAAAGGAATATATCCATTAGTAAGATCTTCTCCCTTTTCATTAGGAGCTTGACTGTCTGTATCCTTATCCCACAGTCTAAGATTACAGAGTTTGGGCAAAATCAAAGTCGTTCCCCCCTAATTTATTTATCATTGATCTACCATTCTCTGATAACTTCATATATAAGATTTAATCTCCCAAGACTAATCACAGAATTTCCCAAAGACTTGGAATTGTGACCATGATCACAAATCATCTTTGTGATTCCTGTGAGGCTTGCTTTTTTTTTTTTCCCCCTACTCTCTATGGTAATAGATCTGGTGTTTGACCTCTGACCCCCAGGAGGGATACTTCAACTTTGTGCATCCTAAGCAATGCAGAATCCAAATAGTATAGCTAAAAAATTGAAGTTATGAAGTTCTCATGTCTCTCAGAAGGAGTAATCAAGTTACAAGTAAGCAGATTTCAGGATCCTATGCTGGCCTATGACCTTAAGATAATTATCATTCTTGTAAATTACCATTTGTAAAGAGATGTTTACAAAGTGCTTTCACATTTTGGTTTGGTATTCCAAACACTGTAAGGTTAGTGCATTTTACCAATTGGAAAGCCTGAGATTCAGACAGTTCAGTTTGGTTTAAGAATACTTAGTAAGTGAATTGTTCAAGAATGTTCAACTAGAAAGTGATAGAGTTAGAATTTGAACTCAGGTCTCCTGTTTCAAAGCCTAGGCTCTCCATTATAACATACTACCTCTCTAGCTTGAGTATTATTACGTATTGACTGACTAAAATTACTTTTTTAGCAATCCAAATGGGCAAGTTCTCTGTTCAGGGTTTCATCTTTGTAGGTATATTGAGAAGGTCAATGAAGTGTCTTGTTACCTGCGTAGAATATCATCTCTATCCAGGTGGAGCCATCCTCATTCTTCAGTGATACTAGGACTGTGGTAAGGTATATGGATCCATATACATTTTTCTGTGGTTTAGTCGTAGTCTACATAGTCCTGATCTTTTCATTCTTGGTCCTTTGTCACTGGCCACATGTTTCACTGTAAAGTGCCAGCTTCTCTACACCTCTCTTTTGTGCTTATATTATAGAGAACTGTAAGAAGTACATGCCAGAGAAATCATTTACTAGTAATGGAACAAGGAATTACCCTGTGGCTTCTGGCATGAGATGGTTGACTTTTCCTTTGACTGTGACATATTTAAAATTTTGTTGGCTATACAGATCTTGAACCAGTCCCTCTTTCCTTTTATAAAAATACTGGCAGTTGCTCCATGATAGCTGAACCTTTTGCCATTATTCCTTTTTATTAAAGTAGTACTTCTTAAAGATTAAAAAAAAAAGTTCTTTTATAACAACTATAATGGTAGGGGTATTAGCACTTTTTAAGCACGTGTTAGCCTGTAAAGTGCTTTCACACATGTTATCTCATTTGGTCCTCATCAGCTTTATGAAACAGCACAATATATTAAAAAATATATAAGATCATTGAAATATATTGACACATGAATAGTTCCCTTCTCTATCCCTAGGGGTAAAAACAGAAATCTCTCTATGGTTTAGCTGTGCTTCTCACACCCTTTCATTCCATACAGGCAGATATCTTCTGAGTTACCTTCTCATACCATTTTTCCGGTTAGATCCTTAAAAGAATCCTGTTACCCATTGAATCAAGTCTAGTTCATCACTTCAGCATGAAAGAGTCTGCATAATTTGGCCCTAAACTACCTTTCCAGCCAATATTTTCATCAGCCAACCCAGTCTTCCTTTTCTTTTAGTCCATATCTATTCTGTATGTCTGTGTTTGTGCTATTATACTATGGTAGAATTCTTTCCATTTTTTTCTCTTTTATTGCAGTCTTTTCAGTAAGCAGTCCTAGCTCTTCCTCAAGACCTTTCCCACAAACTTCAGCGTATTGGATCTCTTATTTTCTTCAACAATGTAGTAATAATTATCCATGCTATGTTCTGTAGGTTTTGTATCGTATTATGTGTGCTTTTCTTTATTGTAATTATTTCATGTGTACTAACAACATTAACAGCTAACACATAGTATCTACTATGTAAATGTTTACTGTGCACCAGACACTTAATATTTTATAAATATTGACTTACTTAATTCTCACAACAATCCTATGAAGTAGGTACTATTCTTACCCTCATTTTGCAGATGAGGAAACTAAAACAGAAAAGTTATTAACTTAAGATGTAGAACCAGGATATAAACCTAGGTACTAACTGCATCTTGCACTCAAACTTGTTGAGGGTGAGCCAGAGTTCACATGGTGCACTTCCCCACAACACGGAACACCCAGCCATACAGATGGTACCTACTAATATTCAGTCAATCAGAATTAGTACCTTTTAAATCTTCATTTATTTGAGACTTAGACCTGAGTCCAAATAAAGTTATTGCGAATGTTTCTTAATATCAGCAGATGTCTATTTTTCCACTAATTTGATTGCCATATTGCAAATATACAGTTTTAGAATTTATCCTTAAAAAATTTTTAATTCATCGATTTAATCTGATTTAATTTTATAGCTATGATTAGAATATAGTTCAAATTCTTCCTTTCTAGAGGTAGTCGAGTTACTAGATAATACTGCATTAGTTAGAGTGTCTTGTCACTTTCAAGTTTATTTGTATGTTTGGGTGATTATAGGTGGTTAGTTTGTCACATTCTTTTTTTTTTTTTTTTAAAGATTTTATTTATTTATTTGACAGAGCACAAGCAGGAGGGGAGGCAGAAGGAGAAGCAGGCTCCCCACTGAGCAGGGAGCCCAGAGCGGGGCTCGATTCCAGGACCCTGGGATCATGACCTGAGACAAAGGTAGTCACTTAACCAACTGAGCCACCCAGGTGCCCCAGGTTGTCACATTCTTGAATCAAATATTCCTAAAGCTATTAGTACTGCCTCAAAGCACAGTAGTTTTGAGGAAGCATTATCCCAGTTTTTCAGACAGGTCTGATGACAAGGATGGTGTTAAAGAGTGTGTACCTGGGACACCTGGGTGGCTCAGTCTGTTAAGCATCTGCCTTCAGCTCAGGTCATGATCCCAGGGTCCTGGGATCAAGCCCCGAATCGGGCTCCCTGCTTGGCGGGAGGCCTGCTTCTCCCTCTCCCACTCCCCTGCTTGTGTTCCCTCTCTCGCTGTGTCTCTCTCTGTCAAATGCATAAATAAAAAATATTAAAAAAAAAAAAGTGAGGTGGAGTAATTAATTGGTTCCTAATGTTAGAATTCTGATTTTTTTTAAAGATATTTATTTATTTATTTAGGAGAGAGAGGGAGAGAATCCCAAGCAGACTCCGTGCTGAGCACAGAACTCAAGGCAGGGCTCAATCTCACTGAGGTCATGACCTGAGCCAAAATCAAGAGTTGGACGCTTAACTGACCGAGCCACCCAGGCACCCCTAGAATCATGATTCTAAGAAGAGAAAGGAGGCACATGAAAAGATGCTCGACACCCTAATTATCAGGGAAATGCAAATCAAAACCACAATATGACCTTACACCTGTCAGAATGGCTGGTATCAAAAAGACAAGAAATAATAGATAATTAAAAATTAATAAAGGGGTGCCTAGCTGTCTTGGTCGGTAGATCATATGATTCTTGATCTATACCACATTGGGTATAGATCTTTTGGGTATAGATCTTTTTTTTTTTTTTTTACTTATTTTTAAAGATTTTATTTATTTCAGAGAGAGAGAGTGAGAGAGAGAGTGTGCAGGCATGAGTGAGGGGAGAGGCAGAGGGAGAAGCACACTCCCCGCTGAGCAGGGAGCGCGATGCAGGGCTCAGTGCGGGGCTTCCTGACCCAAACCCAAGGCAGACACTTAACCGACTGAGCCACCCAGGCACCCCTGGGTGTAGAGCTTTCTTTAAAAAAAGAAAAGGGGCGGTCTGGGTGGCTCAGTCACTAAGCTCAGGTCATGATCCCAGGGTCTTGGGATCGAGCCCCACGTTGGGCTTCCTGCTCAGTGGGAAGCCTGCTTCTCCCTCTCCCACTCCCCCTGCTTGTGTTCCTGCTCTCGCTCTCTCTCTCTCTTAAATAAATAAATAAAATCTTTAAAAAAAAAAGAAAAAGAAATTAAAAAAGAAAAAATAAATATGTCAGTATAGGGCTAATATTAATTTAAAACATTCTTCTCCTTCTCTAAAAGTGATGTATAACACACAAGAAGATAGGCACTCATAGTTGGATATATGGATCACTGCATTCCTATTTAGTCCCCATTATGATCAGCTTAGGTAGGGTAGGTAGGCTCTTGTGTGGGAATGATTAACTGGCTAAGAAGAACAAACCCGTTGTCTTCAAACCCTAGACCTAATTGGTTTTACTTTAATAGCTAAAGGCCTTGTCCATTAAAAGTTCTCTTTATTTTTATCTTGTAATAGGATCATTCTGTTCTTAAATTTAATGCATAATAAAAACTTCAAATTTTCTCATACGGCAGACTCTATATAGGGTAGTATAATTGATTACCAAAGACTTAGGATTTGAAATCAGAATTCTGGACAGCTACTTAATCTCTGGGCTTTAGTTTCTCCTCTATAGAACAGAGAGGAGGATGAAAATGTACATTGTGGGGGTTACTGTGAAAGTTAACCTGTGTACTCTAATATTGCTACTTTATCTCTCACCTTTTTTGTTTTTGTTTTTGTTTTTTAATTTATCTATTTAAGTAATCTCTACCCTCAACATGGGGCTCAAACTCGTAACCCTGAGATCAAGAGTTGCATACTCCTGCTCCTGAGCCCACCAGGTGCCCCTCATCTCTCACCTTTTTACCATGTACACTCTATGTAAAACTAAAAGCAATGACTTGCAGTTCTAAAGAGGCTTTTGTTCTTCCCATCCCCCTCTTCCAACTGTTTCATCTGGTCAGTTCTTGTTCATACTTTAAGACTCAGCTCAGGCATCACCGCTTTTCTTTTCTCTGACTTCATTACAAGTTTTGGTTCCTCTGTGCCATTTTCATAATAACCCAGGTATACCTCATTGCACTTCTTTGCACATTATGTTGTGACTGTTTACTTTTCAGTCCTCTTCATTAAACTGTGAACTCTTTGAGAGTAGAGACTTGTATGTTATGCTCATTTTTCGTGCCCTTGGTGTCAAGCGTGGTTCTTGTTGTATATATAATATTTTTTGATAGATAGAAGGAAAAGAAGAAGGAATAAATGAGCTAGTATATGTGAAAGCATTTTGTAAACTATAAAGTGCAATGCACATATTAGTGTGGTTTTGCATTACATTCCTCAGTGTTGTGTTTTCAATATCTGAATGTCCGTTTTTAGAAGGCCTGGATCCTACTGATGTAATTCTCACTGTATTGGCTATATTATTACAGTATCCAGGGACAGCATCTTATGTTACAGGATTATAGTTTCCATGCTCTGTTCCAACAATTTAATTAATTAGACTTAACTAGGCAGGTTTTTAGTCTTTAGTTACTTCACATTTCTTTATTAAAAATTTATATTTTACATCTGGTGGCTCAGTAACATTCATCTCAATCTTTATTGTTTCACATTTATGGTGAAACTAAAATCCCATACATCATACTAAAGATAGATTGAACTGTTGTATCTTCTTCTTGGAGGCTATACTGAAAATAAATACCCTAAATTTTGTTGGCACATTAGGAGCTTAACATTTAATACAAAATTATGTATGTAATAATGTCTCTCTTCCGTTTTTTTAATGGCAAGGATATTGGATTCCGACTCGACTCACTACATACCATTCTGCAACAGGAAGTCCTGTTACAAGAGGATGTGGAGCTGATTGAGCTACTTGATCCCAGTATCCTGTCTGCAGGGCAACCTCAACAACAGGAAAATGGACACCTTCCAACACTTTGCTCCCTGGCAACCCCTAATATTTGGTACTGTCCAGAAAACATCTATCCCTTGCTTACATATATGGTATTAGCAGAGGAAATCCATCTTCTTGTTCTGTTGTAAAGACACTATAAACATTCCATACATTTTAACGTTGTAATTAATGTAATGATACCCCAAAGGTTTAAAAAAAAAAAAAAGTACCTTTCTAAAGTAAACACTGTTTAAAGTGAAGCTGGAAAAAAATCCAATTATTACATATTTTTAATTCAGTATAATTAGTTCTGTGTTTAATAACCCAACAAGCAGGCATAACATGTGCCCCAAGGATCTCTCTTACCCGTATACCTATATATGTGTGTGCATGCAGTCCTAGCCACTTATGTATCTTTATAATTAATAGATTATATCATAAATGCATTATAGAAACATCAAAAATAGGATGGAACATGGAGGTAAACAGTCAGTTCTTGCTTTGTTGGCTGAGAAGCCATAGAGAATAGACTGACAGTTCAGTCCTAAAACTTTTCGACTACTTGAAGTATTTGGGTCTAATGCAGAAGTCCCAGGCCATGTTTTTAGAAAGAATAGCAAAAAAGGATTTATATACAGAACTGTTCATGTCCTCTTCCTATTAAAGTATGAGTTTATTAAGTGAACAAAATCACTGCTTGAACTATTCAAGTTACATAGGTAGTTACATAACATTGGCCTCAGATTTCTGAATTTATCTGTCTTTCCTGTCACATTGACAAATGCTTCATATTGTAACAGGTAGCAAAGTATGTCTTCCAAATCTGTAGTCACTCAGCATCATGATGAAGTAAAGCGTCTTACCCTTTACAAATATAAGAATGCAAGGAACTGCTAGAAGGAACCAGGGTTTAAAGAATTTTACAGCTTTAACTCTCAAGTTTCCTTTAGGCACAGATGTGATTAAGCAACCCTGAGGCCTGTAAATACTTTTAGACTTTGCTATTAATGCATGAAAGTATATGATGAGATTTTGCTTTGATATTACCAGTATCATTTGAAAGTAAAGTATTCCAAGGGAAATTGGGACAGGTAAATATTTAGTAGGAAGCATTCTTATATGTGACTTTATAATTTGATTATAACTGTCTTCAAGTATTGTTGATTTTTTTTAGATATCCTCAGACACATCTCCCTATAGTCACCTCTTTCTTATATATATTTTTATCAAAGCCTTCATTGCTTAAAAGATGTATTTTAGTCTGTAGATTTGTAATTAACCTAGAGAAAAAAAATTCATATATATTTTTACTTAAAGCATTGTAAAAGTACCAAGTTTGTGCATATTATGGGCTGTGGTAAGTATGTGTATTCCAGATTGATGCTGATTATTTAAAATTAGTTGACTTTACTGAAACAGTTACTCGAGTATATATTAGTTCTATTGGAAAAATACTTATATTTTCTTGAGATATTTGTTTCTGTGCAAATAATTAGTATCTGACTTTAGGAAGAGAACTCATAATATGACAATATTAAGATGTATTTTAATATTAAAAATAGTAAAAATTATTTTTAC